CAGACCTATAATCCTAACTACACAGGAGGCTGAGATGTGAAGATCATGGTTCATAGCTGGCTTGGGAGGAATCTCTTTTTCACATATATTTTATAAGAAAAATTGAACACCAATTTTAAATTGGTTTCTCAAATTTGGAATTTCTCAAATTTGGGGGAGGGGTTTAGAATCTTATGACAAGTTAAACATATTATCATAAAACCCAGAAACTCCAACTCAAAAGAATCGAAAACTTAAGTTCACAGAAAGACTCCTGTGAGAGTGGACACAGAAGGATTATTCATAAATAATAAAAAATGAAAGCAACCAAAGGTTCTATCTACTAGAGAAGAGAGAAACAAATTGTACTGTGGAATACTACTCAGTCATGAAAAGGAATGGCACTTTCATAGATGCAGCAGCATTAGTGAATTTCAAAAACATATAAGAATAAAATACCAATTGGTATGTTTCCATTTATATGAGACTAGAAAAGGCATCATTATAATGATAGAAACTAAATAAGTATTAGCCTTAGGTTAGGTGGGGGAAGAGATGGATGAAGCAGGAAGAAATGTTTCAGAACTGGACACCAGTGGCTCATACCTATAATTCTAGGTAATGGGACCCTGAGATCAGGAGGATTGAGGTTTGAGTCCAGCTCAGGCACCTATAAGAGACCTCTCTTTTTAAAAAGATATTTTTAATGATTATAATTATAAATGTGATGTACAGAGGGGTTATAGTTACATAAGTCAGGTAAAGAGTACATTTCTTTTCTTTCCAGTCATGGGGCTTGAAGTCAGTGCCTGCACATTGTCCCTGAACTTCTTTTGCTCAAGGTTAGCACTCTACTAGTTGAGCCACAGCACCATTTCTGGCCTTTTCTGTGTATATGGTACTGAGGAATGAAACCCAGGGCTTCGTGCATGCTAGGCAGACACTCTACCAACTAAGCCACATTCCCAGCCATGAGTGCATTTCTTTTTGACCATGAAGAGACCTGTTTCAACCAATAGTTGGTGCGGTTATATATGCCTGTCATACCAGCTGTGATGGGAATTGAGCTTTGGAGAAAAGTTTCCAAGATTCCATTTCAATGAAAAGGAGCTGGGCATGGTGATACAGGCTTGCTATCTCAGCCTAAAACAGAAGGATATAAATCCACGACGATGTCTGGGCAGGAAGCCAGACCCAGACCCATTTGAAAAATAACCAATGCAAAAAACAGCAAGAGGTGTGGCTTAATGGCAGAACACCTGTCTAGCAAACAGGAGGCTAGTTCAAACTCTAGTACTGCAAAAAGAAACTAAGTAAGTTTCAGGTGCAGAAACTGCTATTTATATTCAGATAAAAAACAAAAAGCCACCACAAAAAAACCACAACCCCCCTCCCTTTCCCCCAAACTTCTATCAATGTACAATTTGGGCAAACTTCTAAAAACCCTATGATAAAAATAAATCTTGAGGTAGACATGCTAGTTGTTACCTATAATCCTAGCTATTCAGGAGGCTGTGATCTAGGACTGCAGTTCAAAGCCTGTCTAGGAAAGAAAGTCTATAAGTCTTTTTATCTCCAATTAACTACCAAAAAAGATGGAAATGGAGATATGGCTCAAGTGGTAAAATACTAGCCTTGAGGACATAAGATTAGAGACAGTGCCCAAGCCCTGAGTTTAAACCCCCGAACTGGCACACATATACACAAATAAAATCTTAAGCAGGAAGAAACACAACAGAAGGAGGAGGATTAGAGTTACAGAAGACTTCTGAGCCAGGCACTGGGGTTTATGCCTGTAACCCTAGCCACTCAGAAGGTTGTGATCCATGGGGCCAGGAAGGTGGCTCAGCAGTAGAGTGCTTGCCCTTATGCATGAGGCCCTGGGATTGATTCCTCAGCACCACATAAACAGAAAAGGCCAGAAGTGGCACTGTGGTTTAAGTGGTAGAGTGCTGGCCTTGAGTTGAAGAGCTCAGGGACAGTGCTCATGCCTAGAGGTCAAGCCCCACGACTGACAAAAAAGAAGGAGGAGGAGAAGGAGGAGGAGGAAGAGGAGGAGGAGGAGGAGGAGGAGGAGGAGGAGGAGGAGGAGGAGGTGGAGGAGGCAGCAGTGGCTTGGATCCAGAGGATCAAAGTTCAAAGCCAGCTTTGGCAAAGTCTTTGAGACTCTATCTCTAAAATAATCATTAAAAAAAGCAGGGCTGAAAGTGTTCAAGTTAGTAAAGTGCCAGCTGAGTTAACAAGCAGAACAAGTGAGAGGCCCAAAAGGAACTACAGATGACTTCTACTCAGAAACTATGCAAGCTGAGAAGCCAATGCACTCACAAGCATCAACCTCAACACACCAAACAATAGTCAATCCTAGCATGCACGAAGCATGTGTGTGTTGGTTGTAGAGCTTGAACTCAGGCCTGGGCACTGTCCCTGAGCTTTTTTGTTCAAGACTAGAGCTCTACCACTTTGAGCCACAGCACTACTTCCAGTTTTCTGGTGGTTATTTGGGGATAAGAGTTTCATGGACTTGACTGCCTGGGCTGGCTTTGAACCATGATCCTCAGATCTAAGCCTTGAGTTATTAGGATTACAGGTGTGAGCCATCAGAGCCTGGCTAGATTCCTATACTTTTTAAATAAATATACTTGGATGAATTTTTTGGAAGTGGTCGTAGGTTGACCTGGAAAGCCTAGAAAGCAACTATGATCGTAAATTAGGACTTTCTAATGAGTCATGTATCCTGTCTTAAGTTGAGCTTGGTCATTTGTATAAAATTTTGAGGATAGTGAATTTGAGGATAGTGAATTTTTTCCAATGTGAAAGTTTGATATTTTCATAAAAAAGATGAGAACTAGAGGTGTGGTTCAAGTGGTAGAGCACCTGCCTAGCAATATCAAAGCCCTGAATTCACACACCAGTACCACCACAAAAAAAAGGAGAAAGAGGTTCGGTACATACATTTTGATTGGGAGATATGGGGGAGATGGAAGGGGTGACATGTTGAATGGAAGCCTCTTTGTACTAAAGATTAAAAAAAAAAAGATGAGAACATTCATTGCCAGAAAAACTGTGCAAAAGGTAACACTAAAAGGAAGTTTAGACAGGAGGAGTATGATGCCAGGCAGAAATTTAGATGTACTTGAAGAATGAAGAATAATCGTAAAACCTTTTTGTCTTTATGGTACTGAGCTTTGAGTTCAGGGCCTCAAGTTCCCTCAGGCTTGCTCGGATGACATTCTCCCACTTGAGCTGTGCCTACAGCCCAGCTTCTTGCTGTTTTGCAGTATCTTGGCATTTTCTGTCCTGGCTGGCGCTGTATTCTATTATGCCCGTCTAGGCTGGCGCTCTGCCTCCTGAGCCACAGCTTTTTGCTGGGTATTTGGGGGAAAGTGTGACGGACTTTCCTGGGGTCTCAGCGAGGATAACAGGCGTGAGCCCCCGAGCCCGCCATTATCCCTGTTAGAAACTGAAGTGGGGTCTCTAGAAAACAGTTACTTGGCCAAGACATCTCGGTGCGAAATGGCGCCTCCCGGGAGGGCCGGTGGGTCGGGAGCCTCGGCGCTCACCCGAGGGCCGGGCGGTCGGGGGCCTCGGC